TCCTATAAAAAATTTCCCCTTTAATCTTTAGTGGCATACGACAGTCTCACAACACACCCGATGTGCACTCTCCCACTTCATCCATCCAGATTATATTAAGTGGTTTGGTCTCCATCCAATTCTCTGTTTTTTTTTTTTTTTTTTTTTGCAAAATAGATCTATGATATTGAAAGCGTTCACTCTTTGGTATTTTTTGATCACCAAGTCTCACCCCTAACTTATTTGAACCTCCGTTCCTACTATACTTGCACTTCATATGCTGTCTTTGACCTACTTATGCGAATACCTTTAGATTCCAACATTTCCCGCCAAAGGTTAAGCTTAGCATTTACTCTTTCTTCAGTTTTATCTATCAACATTATATCGTCTGCGAAAATCATACACCAAGGAATATTATCATGAATATGTCCCCTTAACTTATCTATTACCTATGTAAAAAGGTAAGGACTTAAAGATAGCATTGATTCAGTTATGAAAAAGCTTTTGATTTGTACTTCATAAATTCTTACGGTAGTCCTTACTCCATCATACATATCCTTTATTGCTTAGATATATACTGTTCATACTCGTACTCATTGCTCCATCATACTCTACTCTTGAAAAGCTTATAACGTAACGAATCTTTCATCTACAGGAGTTGCTCTGGGAGCTGGATGGCAGAAATATGTAGCATATGTGAACCTAGGCTGCTATTACATCATAGGAATTCCTGTTGGAGTTGTGCTTGGTTATCCTCTAAAAATGCAAGTCAAAGTAAGATACTCGATCTCTATCTTCTTGTCACTCAATCTATTTTTATTTAGGGTTTGTTTCAGGGTCCTCGATGATGAGTTTTGAGACTAGAGTCCGATGCATGTTATGTAACGTTGAAATGACTGACAAGAAAAGAGAGCAAAACAAATGAAATTTGAAAACGAAATGGTTATCAAGTGAGCCCCCTACTAAATCACTTCAATAGTCGTGTTCTCTCCTCCATTTACTTTCTGAATAACTCATTTTATGGATTTCTGCAGGGTGTTTGGATTGGAATGTTGTTTGGAACATTAGTCCAAACTAGTGTGCTATAATGATACTCACCTACCAGACTGATTGGGATAAACAGGTAGAATTAATATTTGATTGTTTTCCTTGCATCCTTCACTAGTATTAACATGACATACTGAAGAACCTTTCTTCACACCCAAGAAACTAAAACTCGTATCAACATTTATAGGTAGAAATAGCTCGTAACCGCGTTAGTAGGTGGAATCGACCAAACAACAGAGAATCAAACACACTTGAAATATCTAATTTTTATCGTTCTTCAATTGTTCTCTTTCCGCCACGAGAAAGACGCGTAGAAGAAGTATACCCAGCACACGAAGGATCATTTGGAGAGTATATATAATTTGGTCCTATCAATTTTCTTCAATTTAACAACAGTAATTTATGAAATTTGAAGTGTGTTACAGAGTTATAAACAAAGTAGAGTCTAGGTACCGCTAGGCCAAATAGTCACTGGCATTTTTTGGAAGTAAATGAATGGCTATTGGCATTTGTTTTTCTATCAAACTTTCACTGAAGAAAACAAGTGAAACTTCGACAGAAACAAAGGGGGATAATCGTCCCAGATAGCTCGAAGCTCCACTATAGCCAAACGTGCTAACAAAAGCAGGAGGGGGAGAGAAAATGGCCAGACCTCCAATCTAGTTGCGTGGAGGACAAGGTAGACCATCACGAGACAAGACTTGAACCAAACTGGGAGGGGGAACCCAAACCTCCGAGCTAGTTGTGTGGAGGATAGCGTAGACCATCACGAGATAAGACCTGAACCAAATAGGGGAGGGGGAACCCGAAGTTTCTGATCTCTTCGTCAATGAGAAGGAAAATATTTTACATTGGTAACTTTACTAGATTTTCCAGATAGAATTTCATCTATGATCTTACCGATGGTGAGAACATTAGAGTAAAGAATTGCAGGAATGAAAACTTACAAAAAAATAAAAAATAAAAGGTTTACAAAAGAGAGAGGGATTATTTTCTCAACAAATTGTATGCCGGTAAATCTTTTACACAGCCGACATCTTCGAGTGCAAGCTCGAGTTCTAACTGACTTGTCGTAGACTTCATAACATCCTGGAAAAAATTAAAACAGAGTCAGGAGAAGAAGAATGCAGCGCTTTGTATCTTAAATTCGCAAGCGGAGCGACAAAGTCATTTACATTGAAGTCCATATAAGAAGAACGCTTTACGAGCCATTGAGCATCCATCATTTGGGAGAAATTTTTAGTTAGGATGAAAACAAAGTGGTACACCACGTATTTTAATAGGAGTAGTGGGAAATTTTAGAACATGTTTGGTACTTTACTTGAATTCAACTTTTTAAACTTAAAAATAATTTTCAAATTTTAAGCCTTAAAAACTTGTTTGGTAGGACTATTTTCAAAAAAATGAACTTAAGACTAACTTAAAAATATAGTCTATTATTTAAAAACATAAAAAATGAGTTTTTAAATTTTTTAAATTTAATCTCACTAATTTCTTTTCTCTCCTTCATTCTCTCTCACTCCAAAACTATCTCTTTCTCTTTTCTTCTTTCTCTCTCCTCTTTTTTTTTTTTTTATCTTTTTCGTCTCTTTATCAATCTGCTCTCTTCATTCTCTTGATTTTCTCTCACTCATCTTCCTCTCTATTTTGTCCGATCCTCTCTTTTCTTTCTCTTTCCTTCAATCATCTCTTACTTTCTTTCATCATCTCTCATCTGTCTCCCTCTCCTCTTTTTAGATCTCTTTGTTTAATTTAAGTCATAAGATTTAAAAATTTTAAATCGCAAACCAATCAGGTTTTTGAGTCTTAAAGAGAATTGTTTTCAAGAAATGTTCTTAAGATATGTTTTGAGAAATTATAAAAAATTTCAAATATGATACCAAACAGGCCCTTATTTTTTAAGTTATTAACTTTTTAGCATACATATCTCACCATTTGTATAATGACACGTGGTGTACCGGTTACATTAAAAAATCTCCCATCATCTGGAAGGCTACACAATAAGGGTTATCAAACGCCATCTCATCTTCTTTAAGCAGTTCGAGAGAACGGATTCCAGCCAAAGTAGTTGCCTTTGCTGCATGAAAAAATGTATGCGATTATTTCTTTATAAACACAGCGTCAGCATTCATATTTTGATGGAAGAAAAAAAAAAAGAACTCTTCAGATAAACATGCTAAGATGATGCATTCTCATCGAATAGTTTTCTGACAATATAATATCGTCCATCCTCTCACTTCAAAAATTTATCTGTACCTAATTGAAGATCCAACATTTGTGCTCAGACAATAGAAATATTGATGCCAGCTACAGCAAAGGGATATTTTGACACTCATTCGCGTTAAAGCATTGAAATGAAATCTCTGTATGCATATGCACATGCATCAAAGCCTAACGAAATTAACGCCAGCGCTTCTCGTCAGGTAATGCATGCAATAAACTACAAGGTTACAAGTACTATATAATTCACCAAATCATAAGTAAGAGCGAGACTTCCAGTTTATTACAGGGCTGGCATCCAAATTAGCACCACTATCTGCCTTGATATCACCGCTAAAAAAGTGGGACGCTGATACTCTATCCCTGCCACAATATTTGTCGACATTTCAACAACTTTGAGCACTGAATTAGACTAGGCTGATATTTTCATCCTTCTCACAGATACTTCTCTAAAATCGAAAGCACTGAGGAAAATTTCCAACTTCAGAATCATTAATATCTGTGAAACCCAAAATTTCAAATGCAGAGAGGATTCTCCACTCAGTAGGATTGAAATGGGCTAATGAGGATAGTATGATTGAAATTGAATGGTTCGGGTCTTTCGGCATTCTCTCCTCTCTCTTTTTATCAACCCTCCTCTGCAAATGATTGAGATAAACAGGTAGAATTAATATTTGACTGTCTAATATCTATGCCTCCTTTACAATAAATTAAATTAAATGAGAAATTCTTAAGTACCTACCTTCTTCGAATTCACACCAAGAAATTAATAAAATTTGTCTCTCTTTGTATTTAATGGTAGCAGTGGCTATAGCTCGTGACCGTGTAAACAAGTGGTCTGTAATGTAACAGATGTTTGAGAATCGACCCCCGACACATGAAACGTCTGACTTTCATGATTCTTTAAGGGATCCGGCTTCTCTGCCCTCCTACTTTTCATACATTTTCATCCTATTCTATTTTGTATGATCACGGTTAAGTCACGTCAACATTTTATATTGATTTTTTTATAGAGATAATAAGACAAAAAAGCAATAATAATATAAAATATTAATGTGGCTTAACTGTGACCGCACAAATAAGAGAGGATGAGAGTGTATGGAAAGTGAGAGGGCAGAGAAGCCAGGTCCCTTTTGAAAAGATGTTGATAATGATAATGTACTTGAATATGAGGTGATATTTCACATGTCATTATGTAAGTAGAGAAAAATTTTATTTTTTAATATTTCACAATTTGTATAATGACATATGATATATCATCTTATATTGCAAACGCACTGAAAAAATCTCTCGTTGCTAACAACCATTCTTCCAAAATTGGTGAACCAGTATTTATACTCCAAACTGTCCAAAATTCGTGTTGTTGAAAAGCATAATTGCTTTATATATCTTACATATATTTTACAGAGAGTTTTAACGAAAAGCTAATAATATTGTTTACTTTACCAAAATCACATTTTTACATTAAAAAGTCAATCATGATACTATTTATTTTATTCTTTATTTTATTTTATCCTTATCAGTAAAACTCAACATTTTCAAACACTGTTCATTAGTTTCTTTATTTTATATACATAATGGAAAAGTGAATGCCCATGAAGTTTTTGGCAGGATGTGTGTAAAGCAGAACTCCCACCCACCCATCGACGACGTCATTCAATCTTTTTCATTTTTCCCCTTGTTTTTATACTCATTTTTTCCTTTTATTTTTCGACTTCCCAAAAAACCAAAAACCATATTAATGACAGCCAACAATTTAATCATTCGTCAACTTCAGACTCCTCTGTAAACATCTCGTCCACATTCTCCAGCTCTCTCTCTCTCTCTCTCTCTCTCTCTCTCTACCCCTCTCTTCTAGTTCTCTCTCTGATCAGTGTTACTCTTCCAATTCATCCGTCGCCAGAGGAGTTTCATTGGGTTAATTTGCAGCGTATAACCCCAGCGTGTGAGTCTTTCTCTCTCCCTCTGCAAAGGATTTTTTATTATTTCAAAACGTTTTTGGTTATGATCAGTGGCAGAGCCACTAAAGGACAAGGATAGTCATGGCCTATCCAGCAACTTTTTTATTTTTTATTTTATTTTTATGTATAAGATATAGCATAACCTCGTAAGTTTTGTTGCAATCTTGAAGTTCATGGATTTGGGATTCTCTTATTCTAGTTATAATGATGTAGCTTCTTCTACTTGTTAATTACTTCACGTTCATCTTTGGGCGGAGGAGATTAATCCAGGACGAAGTTTTTAAGTGCGATAGCTGAATCTAATTGTCATGATTTATCACTTACTGTTTTTAAGCTAGTTGGCTTGAACTTCTAATTTATCTGCTCTTAAATATTACTTTGATTAAGTGACTATATGATTGATGCGGTATGAAAATCATAATCTACTTCTATCTTCCTAAGATGTTTCTCCATCTAAGTTGAGATAAATAAATAGAAATACAATCAATCTATACCGTATCTTAGGTGTAAAAAAATAAAGTTTTATATTTGTAAAAGACCTCCCTTGAGGTAAGATTCAACCTCAGCGACTGGGTATGATTTTCTAAATGTAATTGGTTGGTTGGATAATACGAGGGATATATAAATGATTCGTACCTGTGAATTGACGAGTAATATAACGTCATATTATTTTATTAATTAGTTAGCGCTTTAAGTCAGCTTCTCGGTATGTATAAATATACATATATAAACGGTTTCTGTCAATATGATTTGTTAAGAGTTTATCAGAGCTTAAGGAAATGCCCAGATTCTGGGTGGCCAGCTTACTTTAGCAACTGGTTTGTATGGTGATTTAAGTTAGTTTTTACTATTTGAGAAGGTACGTAACTAATAACTAAGTCAACTAACTCGAGGAACATTGCTGTCAAATTGTCCATGAAGGAGTTGGGTGGGTTCAAACTTGATAACTCATGTACGGCTGTCGTTGCTGTCTACGAGTAGTTACGAGGCATATTTAGCTTCACGTACGATCATTTGCATTTTGGTCCCTGTATTAAACAGACGTAAATTGATCTTTCTACCCTCTCTCTCTAAATCCTAATCATTAGTGTTTGCCGTAAGTAAAACGCACGCTAAGGAGATCATAAAGAGGTGGAATCCAATTGTATTACCAGACCTTATTTCTATTAAAGTGTGAATTCACATACGCTTGACCAAATATTGTCTCACTAGCATTTTCTAGTAAACATATATCATTTTTTTTAAACCAAAACTTAAAACCCTAAAACGATATGTATGTGTACATATAGTTTATTTTGTGTCACTAAGTTATTTTAATTTTTTGTCTCTAAAGATAAATTAGATTTATGAGTGATGCTAGACAGATCATATTTTGTAGGCTACATAATGTGATGGTTGATGGCTAAACTTTTTTTTTTTTGAACAACCAATATTATCTATACTAAGGGAGAGGGGGTAGGCTTAGCCTCACAATGAACTAGCAATAATATGGTTCAAATTCTTCTTTAGGGAGAATCGAACTTAAAATCTCTCACTTACAAGTGAAATACCATTAGACCGTAATAATAAGTGGCAAAATGTCAAAATATGAACCACATTATTAAAAAGGGATCTATAACCATCACCCACTACATTATGTGGTCTACAAAATAGGGTCTACAATATTCTAACATTTTCCTAATTTTATTTGAGAAGGGTAACTATAATTGCAAGTTGGAAAATACTAGGAGATCATCTTTTTAGATCATATTTGTAAATCACATAATGTGGCGATTGATGGTTAGACTTATTTTTTAATGATTTAAAGAAATAATCCAACTATCACATGTAACATCATGAGCCATATAAAATATTGCTACAACAACAACAAAGCCTTATCCACTAAGTGGGTCGGCTGTATGTATCTTAGAATGCCACTGTGCTTGGTTTTGTGCCAAGTCTTTAGTTATGTCCAAGTACTCGAAATCTTTTTTTAGAGTCTCTTTCCAAGTCTTTCTAGGTCTTCCTCTACCCCTTTGATCATAAGCCTCTGTCTCATCATCACATATTCTAATCTGAGCGTCTGTAGGTCTTCATTTCACATGTTGATGTAGGCACTACAATAAGTATGGTCCCTATATTAAATATGCATGTTGATGGCTTCTCATCTATCAAAGCCATGTTTTGATTTAATTAAGTTGCATTGTAACTATGATGAGTGATTAATTGTCTATCCTACCAATGTAAGGTAACCTCCTATTTAAAGGGTTTCGTATAAAATTTTTCATTGAGCCTTAGTGGCATATGACGGTCATGCAACACACCTTATGCACTCTTCCACTTCATCCATCCAATTCTTCGTTTTTTTGCAAGATAGATCCAAGATATCGAAAGCGTTCGCTCCTTGTTACTTCTTGATCTTCAATCCTCATCCCTAACTCATTTGAACCTCTGTTTCCCTTGAATTTGAACCTCTATCTTTGACCTACTTATGCGAATACCTTTAGATTCCAACACTTCCCGTCAAAGTTTAAGCTTAGCATTTACTCTCTCCTATGTTTCATCTATCAACACCATATCGTCTGCGAAAAGCATACACCAAGGAATATCATGTTGAATATGTCTCCTTAACTCATTCATTACCAATGCAAAAAGGTAAGGACTTAAAGATGAGTCTTGGTGTATCCCTACAATTATGGGAAAGCTTTCAGTTTGTCCTCATGAGTCTAACGGCAGTCCTTACTCAATCATACATATCCTTTATTACTTGAATATATGTTGCTCATAGTCGTACTCCTTGCTCCATCATACTCGTACTCCTTTTTAGCTCTATAAAATATGGCTAAAAATTAAATTTCTCTAGCATCACCCTTGCAAGTTTATCCTTGACAAAAAGAATCATGTCATTAGTTAGGTGTGTTCAAACTTGATAACGACTGAATTAGCAAAAAAAAAAAAAAACCTTGATAACAAACGAACGGTCGTTCTTGCTTGGGTATGTGGCATATTTAGATTCGCGACTTTTGTTTGATATCTTTTCGGTATCGTTTTAATTTGTATCGAATATTTCTAAAAGAATTTTAAATCCTCTCATTTATAAGAGAATAAGAATATTACTTTTATAATTGTTATAATTTTTTTATTCTGTAAACTGTGGGAGCCCAAATTCGAGTTTAGTCCATTTAATTAAAGTAGTGTGCTTCTCTTTCTAGAAAAAATGACGCAGAAGCACGTGGATTATTAAGCACAACACATAGTTAACATCCTTTGATAAGAAAGTTGAAATTTCACTCTAAAACTAGTAAGCAATGAGGGAGTAAACCAACTTCTTATATGACCTTTAAACTTTTGTAATTTTCCAATGTTGGATTGACATTTTCACCATTATTGACCGGCTGTGAGCCTCCAAATTCGGGGACCTGATTTCAGACACTAGAAATCAAGTCTCCAAAATTTTCTACTTGTAGTGCAACAACAACAACAACAACAACAACAAAGCCTTTTCCCACTAAGTGGAGTCGGCTATATGAATCCTAGAACGCCATTGCGCTCGGTTTTGTGTCATGTCCTCCGTTCGATCCAAGTACTCTAAGTCTTTTCTTAGAGTCTCTTCTAAAGTTTTCCTAGGTCTTCCTCTACCCCTTCGGCCCTGAACCTCTGTCCCGTAGTCACATCTTCGAACCGGAGCGTCAGTCGGCCTTCTTTGCCCATGTCCAAATCACCGGAACCGATTTTCTTTCATCTTTCCTTCAATTTCGGCTACTCCTACTTTACCTCGGATATCCTCATGCCCAATCTTATCCTTTCTCGTGTGCCCACACATCCCACGAAGCATCCTCATCTCCGCTACACCCATTTTGTGTACGTGTTGATGCTTCACCGTCCAACATTCTGTGCCATACAACATCGTTGGCCTTATTGTCGTCCTATAAAATTTTCCCTTGAGCTTCAGTGGCCTACGACGGTCACATAACACGCCGGATGCACTCTTACACTTCATCCGTCCAGGTCGTATTCTATGGTTGAGATCTCCATCTAATTCTCCGTTCTCTTGCAAGATAGATCCTAGGCAGCAAAAACGGTCGCTTTTTGTGATCTTCGCTAGATTGCTCCGGTCATTAGTGTGGATAAGTATATAAATGAATAGAGATAGGAAAGCAAACACAAGATGTACGTGGTTCACCCAGATTGGCTACGTCCACGGAATAGAAGAGTTCTCATTAATTGTGAAGGGTTTACACAAGTACATAGGTTCAAGCTCTCCTTTAGTGAGTACAAGTGAATGATTTAGTACAAATGACATTAGGAAATATTGTGAGAGAATGATCTCGTAATCACGAAACTTCTAAGTATCGGAGTGTGGTATCGTCTTGACTTGCCTTATCTGTCTCATAGGTAGATGTGGCATCTTCTCTGGAAGTACTCTTCCTCCATCCAGGGGTGGTATCTTTAACTGGTGGAGATGCACAAGGTAATGTTATCAATTTCACTTGAAGCTTACTTGTAGTTTCAGGCTTGGTCAAGCGCGATACAAACCATGTAGTAGGAGTCTCCCAAGTCGCCGAGCTAGGGGATCTGCTGAAAGAGGTGACAGACAAGGTAAGCAATCAGAGCTCCGGCTGATTGTTCACCTTCTCCCCATCTTGCAGCAGCATGAAGGATAAAGAGAAGAAAGATGAGAAGAGATGATATGGGATACTTTTGCTTTTGAAGAAGTAACTTTCCACAGGCTTATTCTTGAACTGAGCTGGAGGGTTTTCTGGTTTCCTCCAGAGCCGACTGAAGAATTTGAGGGTCAAAAACAAGTCCATCAAATCTAGAGTACGTTCGACCCTGCTGATATGGGATACTTTTTGCTTTTGACAGAGTAATGGATGTATCGGCACGTGTGCTGTTACGCTTGTCTCCACATGCTTCCTTGTATCCTTCGCACTTGCCCTATCTGTTCCTCAAGCAGATGCGGTATCTTCCCTGGAAACATAAGATGTTGAAGATGAGTACTCGA